CATACCTAACAAAAGATGCTTAAAATTTTCCCTCGAACAAGTAAGTTCAGCGTAAGTCAAAAAAAAATCATGCCAGATACTTTTCACCTTTAAAAATTACTACTTTTAGTGAATTTTATATCAAAATTTATGAAAAGGTGTGATACCCTTCAGCAATAAGTAGTGCTATGCACTCGTCCTCCACCTTATTTTACTGTAAAAAAAACTCGAGTATGCTGCGGAAAGACAATATCAGTGCTGATTAAACAGTTGGTTCTTTCTTATAATTACTACCATAGTTTCTGTATTCAGGCTTCAATTCCCACATCGACTTGTGCGGCGGCATTGTATTGTAAACAGCAATTTCCGTCAATATTTCTTTTACAAATCCCTGCAAATATATATTCAGTGAGGGGCTGAAAAAAATAGACATGAAATTATTTTATGGTAATTTTTCAAATTTTGCGACACAAAGTAAGGCAAAAATGGTGTAAATTTTAGTCAAACAACGTAACATAGCGAATAATAATGCTTACTGGTGGCTGATTGGTAAGCTTCTGCAAATCGATAAGCCGGTAATATTGGTGTTTCTCGAAGGCATGGAAGATAGCTTGACGAACGATGTCTTTATCAGCACGTACAGTTTTGGCTCCTTCCTTCTTCTGCTTTTCTCTAGCAGCCTGAAATGAAACAGTGGTTTCTGTAAATTCCAAACCCTGATATCCAGGCCTAGCTCAAGCCAAGCTTTTGAAAACCCTAAAGCTTTCAAATTCTGATGCTTGCCTGCAATTCTTACGACTTGTCTGCCTGAATCTAACATTTACAAAATTTTTTTTGCACTAAAACTTGAATTTTGTACAAAACGTTCGCTTTTTAAAGAAACTGAACATCTCCACAACGGTTTATTTGCTTTTTTAACTTGATTCCACGTCTCACTGCTGAATTTTATATTTTTTAACTCGATTTTTGTATTTTCCTTACATAAGGTTTTTGTGTCCACCACTCAGAAAAGACCACTTTTAAGGTACGCAAGATCTGAAATGAAAGTTTAGACAAACCATTTCAGCATGAGCTGCAATCGGCTTGAATTTCACTTCTGCTTTCTCCATCTGTTTCACATAGCGTTTCGGCTGGCTGCTTCTCTCAATCTGTTTTCTGCAAAATTTACTCCACATTTACTCCTTCTGGATCGCCCGTGCAATCGATGTGGTATTTCCATATTTGTATAAAATAAATGATCCAAAATCATCCAAAAATCAAGAATGCACGCCGCATTCTTTCCTAAGCAACTAAAAATTGTCCCTTATGCTACGTATGTGCACCACTTTTCCAGAAGTGACCCGACTCTTATCGTTTCCTTCCTCGTAAGTACCATCTGCTGACAAGCAGGATTCACCAGTTGTCAGTAGGGTGAACGTCTCTCAGTCAATGAATTTTACTTTTCTGTATTAGCAATGCTTCTGGATTTCCCTAAAAGTACAAACAGAAAAACTGAAAAAAATTTTGCATAATTTTTTTTGGACTTAACCAGCAGTTATTTTTAACGTAATTTCCTTCCTCCTGAACATTAAACCACTTTACTACCCGCCTCCTTCCAAATCTTACATTCCCCTTTATAGTTGATATTCTTCAACCCCCTCCCCCTCCTTATTTTTCATTAACAACATATCCTATAAAATCAGATCGCCCTACTGGACATTCTAAAGCAAACATTTTCATTCGCATATAATCGGCTGATTGTGGTGGACGACAATCAGCTCTCTTCACCACTCGACCTTCGATGGTCAAACGACCCGAACAGATGTCTGCATCCTCATTCAACCCAGTTTTATCTGAAAATGTAAAGTATCTAAAAACAAAATGAAAAGAAAATATTCCAAGACCACGCTTACACCGGAGTGAACACCAACACGCTGGAGCAGAGGTGTGATTTTCGTGTAGTTTATACATATTTGACATTGCCAGCA